AGAAATGGCAATTACATACTGAGACTGACTTCCTGCTTGGGAATTGTCATTTTCTCATGTCTGAAGAAAAATAAAGGACGACTATGAATAGGCAACAGCTGAAGGAGACTACTTCCTTTCAGATGGGGACAGCCGAAGTGGTCCTTAGGGGCTAGTTGCCTGCTGCTCCCTTTCTTTTGTAAGTAGTCCTCACATTAAAACCAGCATTGGGTTACCTTGCCAATTGACAACGGAGCATCTATTCTCCCTTTTGTTCTGACAAAAACGAAGCAGTTTTATTAAGGGCAGCGATATCGCTTGCCTTATTTATTTATAAGTAAATAAATAAATGAAACACATACACAATTTTAAAGCCTTTCCCAGAGTTTCTCAAAGTTAGAAGTGACTCCGTGGCATAACGTCTGACAGAGGACATACAAGAGAATGTCTGTGAGAGTTATCTAGTCAAGTTTTCCCTTTGTTCCCTCTTTGTTCCCGCTGCCTAGATAGCAGGAAGTCGTGATAACTGGGGCAACTGTAGGTCATTTGCACTCTGCGGGGACCTGCAGGATCCTCGGCCTCCTATCCTTAGGTAACTCTCTAACCCCCAGTCCTTTCCCTGCACGTCTGTGCAAAAGTAATTCGATAAGCCACTTACATAGGCAACCTCTTACTTGAATCCTAATCCAGTTCCTCACTGGGATGCCATAGAAAACAAAAGATAACCTTATATACATCTATTCACCTCCATTCGCCTAGTTTCCCAAATAAGGCAAAGGCAATTATGTTCTCCATTTGTAAATATAAGTTCAAGCAAAAGATGTGTATATGCTGGGACATCATCTCCTGGAACATTAACTAACAGGGAATGTTTGAGTCTTCTTTGTAGACACCTTCCTAGATTCAGTAAAAAACAGGCCGGGACTGCAGACCAGTGATTGTGGGTTTTTGTAGCATGCCCAAGGTCTAACATGCACACACACACACACACACACCCCACGTTCAGAAACGCCCATGCCCTGCCCCGAGGTGCCATAGACAGAATAGCTGCAGGCTTCAGGCTAGGACCGCTCAGCTTCTTTTCTACCTGTATATACATCTCAGTGGGGCCGGGACTAAGGGGACAGAATTTGGAGTTTATCAAGTGCTCAAGGCCTTGGAGTCTATTAGAATCCTGCCAGCTTTCAGGAGAGAGGATCGGTGCTTTATGAGCCACTCAATCACACCTGGTGTGGCCAAATCATTAGGGGAGCTTGTTAGGAATTCAGTGGCTGGGACTCCGCTCCCGGAGTGGAGTATTTTTAACAAGCATACTTTGAGAGTGCATTTTAAAAGCTTTGGCCTGCCAGAGAAGACATTCTGTGGGCTGGTGGATTGAGAGAGCCAAACACCCAGCCCCCAACATCCCTCCAACCTGCAAAACAGAGTCAAGCTACCAGAAGGTAGGAAAAGATCCCAACAGCAGAAAACAGGGTTTTAATGGGCCTTCACCTGTCACTTATCCTGTTTGGTTTGGTTTGGGGGGGGGGGGCACAAGGTCTCATGTAGCCTAGGCTGACCTCAAACTCACTATGAACACTTGCTATAGAGTTAAGTCTGGCCTTGATTTTCCTGCGTTCACCTCCCAAGTGCTGAGATTATAGACGTACGCCCACCTGTCTCCTCAGGTTCTTTAATTTCTCAGATTTTTTTCCCTTTGTTTACCATGAAGGCACTTTACCAAATTAACTACATTTCCAGCCTTACTCTGTCCAATTCTAACTGAATATCTCTAAGTCAATTCTGCTTCCACCATCTAATGACCAAATTCCTTTGCTTTTTGACCCTTTCTCTTCAGGGCCATGGGCTAGAAGGGAAAGAAACTTGGTCTCACTTTCCAGTCCCTGTTCGTGGCCGTTTGCTCTTCCCATTACCTTTCCTGGACTCTGGTGCTTTGTTCCTGCATCGCTCACGTGACAGGAGTAAGCTAAAGACCCACAGTAGCAGCGGCTGTCGTCCAACTTCCTGTCTGGGGCTCTGGCTCTCAGGCCTTGACACCTTCAAGCCACAAAGCAAAGACTGCAGAGCTTCAGGCATGCCAGTGCTGTGCCACATTGCCATAGATGCTCTGCTGGAATTGCAGTGGAGTCCGGCCCCCAGAGCCACGGGCAATTATAATGAGCAGTCAAAAATAAGGTGGCCTGCCCAGTGCCGGTGAACTTAGTTCTTAACGCCCTCTGAGCCTGTTTCCTCACCTTGTGAATGGGTGCCATAGTAATAGTGCCTCAAGCCACTTGGAAAATGATAAAGTGAAATCATGTTTGGCACCTGTAGACTTGGAGTACAGTGCCTAGCTGAAAAGGTGCAGGCTGTAATACTGGTTGGTGTTGTGGGGTAAACTCATGAAGCTCGATGGATTCTTTCTTGGTTTTGCATGTTTTTCTTTGGACTTACCATGGCAGAAATCCAGCCCTGCTGTGCTTGTCTGTCTTCTACTCCACCTACCCAACTGTCAGCATCTTTCAGGATGAGGGACTTGAATGATGAGGCGACAGCCACAGCTTAAGGCAAAAGGAACTTTGTGGAGGCCTGAGTTCACTGGAGACATGATTCCACCGAGGAATGGGACCAAGAATGAGTTAGCCCTCTGGACACCCTCAGGAAACCATCTAGAGATTCTAAGGAAATTTGGCCTACAGAGAGGTTCCACCGTAAACAGCCATATACTTCCTGGGGAGCCCAGACCTCACCCCCAGGCAGTTCTTGCAATCTTCAAAGGGCTGATCCTTCTCGAACCCACAAAGATCATTACCTTCCCAAGTTTTTGCCAGTGATTTTATTGTAAACAGCTACTACACACTATCGTGTGTGTGTGTGTGTGTGTGTGTGTGTGTGTGTGTGTTGTATGCATGTGTGCCACAAGTGTACATGCTCAAGTGGAGAGCAGAAGATGGTGTTGGGTGAATTCCTTTATCACTCTCTGCCTTAAGACAGGGTCTCTTCCCGCATTGGAGCACTTGACTGAGCTCCCAAAACCTAGCTCAAGAGTGGGGGAATATAAGCAAAAAGGTCAAGACCATGATGGGTACACCCACTGAAGCAGTCTATCTGAGCTAATGGGAGCTCACCAACTCCAGTCAGACTGGGAAGGAACAAGCATAGGTCCAAACTAGTCCCTCTGAATATGGGTGACAGTTGTATGGCTGGGGCAGACTGAGGGGCCACTGGTAGTGGGACCCGGATTTATCCCTACTGCATGTACTGGGTTTTTGGAACCTATTCTCTTTGGATGGGTACCTTGGTCAGCCTAGATATAGTAGGGAGGGCCTTGGACCTTCCCCAAAGAAATGTACCTACCCTCTCTGAGGAGTGGATGGGGGGGTTGGAGTGGAGGAGAAAGTGCAGGAAATGGGAAGAGGGGAGGGAGTGGTAACTGGGATTGGTATGTATAATGAAAAAAGATTTTTAAAAAAGACAAGAGTCTCTTACTAAACTGAAGCTCAGTGTTTTTTCATGACTGGCTAACTACCAAACTCCCATAATCCACCTGTCTCCATTCACTAATGCTAAGGTCACATACACAGTAATGCCTAGTTTTTGTTTGTTCTTGGTTTTGGTTGTTGTTTTGATCAGGTTTCACCTAGTAGTGCTGGCTAGCCTGGAACTCACTGTGTATACAAGGCTGGCCTCAAACTCATAAACCTGCCTGCTTCTACCTCCTGGGTGCTAGAATTAAAAGTGTGTGCATCCACACCTCGTGATGCCTAGTTTTTGTTGTTGGTGGTGGTGGGGTTTTATGTTTGTTTTGTTTTGTTTTGTTTTTCAAGACAGGGTTTCTCTGCCTAGCTTTGGCATCTGTCCTGGAACTCACTCTGTAGACCAGGCTGGCCTCGAACTCACAGAGATCCACCTGCTTCTGCCTCCCAAGTGCTGAGATTAAAGGTGTGCAATGCAGTGTTTAATGAGGGTGTTGGGAATTGAACCTCGGGTCCTCAAGCTTGCACAGAAAGCTTACTACTGGTCCATCTCAAGTCACCGGGCAGCCCTTAGTACATGTTTCCCATAGTCATTTCACTCTTAAAGGAAAACCTTACATCTTTTATGGCGCAAGTGCCCCTTGATGTGTAAGGGTGCCTGTGAAATGGGTTGCTAAGGTACTTAACAGGGTAGCTTGCTTTATTCTGTCTGTTATTTTGTGGGTCTGTAAACACGAGCCCAGTCTTGTTTATAAAGAATATTCAGGGCTAAAGTCAAAATATGGATGTTGCTCAGTGGTAGAGTTCTCTTTAACATGTACAAAGTCTTGGTGTGTAGTTCACCAAGTACTTTGTGGTGTGAGGCTCTAGGATTAATCCCAAGTACCACAAAAGAGAATAAAGTTAGCTTAAAGAAACCCAAAGAAAACTAATCCAGTGGAACCTGCCTACAACTGTAGCTCTCAGAACAATCAAGAGTTCAAGGTCCTCCTTGGCAACAAGAGATCCTGTCTTTTAAAAGGGAGGACAGGGCAGCTCAGGAACATTTCTGACAAGAAATTCCTGAGACTATGAATACTACTCTGCATTTGTGTGTGTGTTAGAATCGAAAATACAAAATGATAATACAATGTAGAATAATGAAACAGAAAAATATTTATAAAAGATTATATGCATTTGCATAGCCTATAAATCTGGAGCAAAAGTAAATTTCTGAGGAACCACTGGATTATCTTTGTTTTTGTTGTTTGTAGTGCTGAGGATTGAACCTAGGATTTCACGCATGTGAAGCAAGTGTTCCACCACTCAACTATATCCCCAGCCAGAACCCCTGGATTGCTTAGGCTTTCTCGTGCCCCGCCCTGCTATAGCCCATCTTTGAGAGGCCAGGCCGATCTTAGCTCAGCTGGGGGAAAGGCAGAATTGGTATTTGTAACAGTTTTAGCTGCAGCTAAAGGTCCCTGGCCTTCTAGTTTGTGGGTGGAGCCCCGAGGCTTTAACCTAAGTAGCCCTGTGCCCTCTCTGGGCAGCTCTGAGTGACAGCACCCATACTTCTGTGCTTTCTAGGATCTCCCCTCCTGAGGCAGGCCCTGATGGAAGCACTCGACATCAAGATCCAGACGGACGAAGTGGTGTTCTTGGCATTCCACGAGAGACTGAAACTGACCAACGACTGACTCCTGGAAGCCTGAGACTCGTCCTGCTGCCTTGAATCTTTTCCTTCACACAACAGCCAGTTAACACAATGACGTGGGCTTTGCTTTTCCTTTCTGAAAGTATCCGTGGTGTTAGAAAAAAAACGCTACAAAGAGAACACTTATGCCAAGATATAGTAGCAGGTTAGAACGTCAAGGTCATGGCAACTCCATAAGGGACCAAATAGCCAAAGTAGGACCTTCTCAGCTTCTCAGGTGGTTGACTTAATATAGGCAAGCCTCATGAACAATACCTATTCAATTTCTTTTCTGTTTTTTTCTCCTGTAGTTTTAATATATTTACTTATTTGGGGAGGGGTTGAAGGGAGTGTGCCAGCGCACACATGTGGAAATCAGTGTATATCTGGAGGTCAGAGGACAACTCCAAGCAGCCTTCCTCTCCCGCCATTGTGTGAGCCATGGGCCCTCTTCATTTATTTTCGACATAGTTTCTTATGTAATCCAGGTTGGCTTCAAACTCCCTCGATAGCCCTGAGTACAGTCTTGAAATAATGATCCTCCTGCACCTCCAGGGTGCTGGGATCCTGAGCCCCAAAGGTCAAACCCAGGACTTTGTATGTGCTAGGAAGGCCCCCTGCTGACAGAGCTGCATCCCTAGCCCTCTGTCTACTTTCCAAGAAGCTTCTTTGGAATGAAATCCCAGGAGATCTCATATCCCTATGGGAAACGTTTTGGCTAACAAATGTTGGGCTCACAATGGTGAGGTCAGACACTATAAGAAGGAAAGAGTGCTTACGGTAGCGTGGATGATGGTCAAGCCGACCAGGTAGGAGAAGGAAGGGACAGGGCTCTGAGGAAAACAGCAGATCTACTCTTGGCAGGCCCCACCTGGCTTCCAACAAAGCCCCTTCCCCCTCAACAAGGCAGCTACTCACTTTATCCGTGGTTATACCTTCAAACATGTTTCTGCATCTAAGTGTAGCAGATTGAATTGTGGATAAAGACTGCTTCTCATAAAGCTTCCATCTTTGGCAACTTAGAAGTCTAGACACTAGAGACAGCCCTTTGTTACCTCAGGAGATTGTGGGGAGGGGGGTGGACTCACTTCCTGCTTTGCTTCCTCCTCCTCTAAAACCCTTGTGCTTGCTAGGAGAAACAGTGCCCACCTGCACCTTTTACCTGTGCCCCGGTGTGATTCTTCCCCTTCGGGCATAAGAATGGAGAGTTCTGCTGCAGGATTAGTCCAGGGTTCTCAAACTGTGGGTCTCAACCCCTTTGGGGGATCAGACAGCCCTTTCACAGGGGTCGCATATCAGATATTTACATTATGATTCAAGCAGTAACTAAATTATAGTTATGAAGTAGCAACAAAATAGTCTTATGGTTCGGGGACACCACAACTTGAACTGTATTAAAGGGTCGCAGCATCAGTAGGAAGGTTGAGAAGCACTGGATTAGAGGGTATTCCATCGGGAGGAGGCATATCTCCCCATCCGCAGCAGAAAAAAAAATCATTTCCTAAATGGTAACGCTCACCATGGCGGAGCCAAAGCCTTTGTTCCTGACTTCCTACCAGTGCCCAGCACACAGTAGGTGTGCAACTAAAGTCATTGAACAGATTTATACATGCATTACTAGAGAAGGTCCTTTAAGACTGGGTAGATCACACCAGCATTTAACAACTTCATGAGTCCCCACCACCAAACATAATGAGACAACATCCCTAAGGAAAAACCCCGCTTCACTCAACAGCCTTCCTGTCCCCCAGCTCCCCATCCTGACCTCACAGTTCTCTGAAGAGACTAAGTTTCTGATGAGAAAACAAGATTGAAGGGCACTGTCATAACCGGGAGAGGTATGGCCGGGCCAGTTTCATGCACAGTTGGCCCTGGGCCCTGGAAAGGATTAAGCCTCACAAATATTTGCAGAGACAGTGCAAGCCTCTGCAAGTCTGCTCTGATTTCTCAGTGTGAACTCCTAGGAGGTAACAGAACAAAAGAACCAATGTCTAGTGAAGGCTGCAGTTGGCCAAGTTCAACACAATGACGCCTTGTCCTATCTATTCCTCCTAACAGCCCCACAGAGCAGAGTCACCAAACTGTTACCTCTAAACCACGTTCGACTCACCACCTGTTTGTTTTGTTTGTTAGTGACAGTGTCTCACTATGTAGCCCAGGCTTGTCTCAAACTCATGATCTTCCTGCCTCTGCCTCCCAAGTGTTGGGAATCACAAGCTTGTAGCACCATACCTGGGCTCACCAGTGCCTGCTTTATTATAAAATGTTATTGAGACACAGCCATGCTTATGTGTTCACAAAATGTCTGTGGCTACTTCCAAACCCACAATGGCAGAATTTAGTGTTGGCCAGGACTGTACCATTTTGTAGAGCTCCTCCATTTTGGCTGAACTCTGACAATCCAAGAAACAATAATAATTTGGTTTCTAGAACTGAAGCAACTTGTTTTTCCAGATTCTTGCCCTCCCTATCTTCAAAGTTGATTTGGAGACAGCCTGACTCCAAGTGCATACTATGGACTACTCATCAATCACAGGACATAGAACCTGCTCCTTCCTCTGATAGCCATAAGAAGGGGACTCCCCCCACTCTTGAGTTATTTTCAGATTGCCTTGACAGTTGGGTCTCATCTGACCATCTCAGTCAAGCAGAGAGGGAAGGAGCGTGTTGGAGCAGTGGCCAGCGTGAGATGTGACTCCCACAGTGGGCATGGGAGAAAACACAAGCAGAGGAACTGGGCGTTGGAAGGAGAAAGGGGGTGTTGAGCCACTTACCTGGAATACAGTCTAAAGAGGCAGCTCCAGATGACCACAGAGCATTGGCTCCTCCCTGACAATCACACTTGCATGCTTTGTGGTACCAGGGGTCCTCTCCCTCATCCTGCAGGCAGCCAGAGCGATACAAGTCACAGAAGTCACAGTCAAAGGCAACTGGCCAGTGTACCACAAGCAGCTTGTTTGCAAAGGTCAGTTTCACAAATTACAGTGTGTGCCCCTGAACACACACGGTGGCCACTTTTCTTTGATTCCATGTTACTTTGTTTGCTTGGGTTATTCTCACTGCCGCTGTTTTTAGACAAGGTCTCTCTCACGTACCCCAGGCTGACTTTAAACTCACTACATAGCAGAGGATGACCTTGAACCCCCGATTCTCCTGTGAGTGCTGGGTTTATAGATGGATGCTACCTTGCCCAGTTTATATGGTGCTTAGGATCAAATCAAGAGCTTCTTCATGCATGCTAAGCAAACATTCTTCCAATGAAGGTACCCCAGCTCTATATTCCATTTTTTAAAAAAATGTGTATGTGCATGTGCACATGTTCGGGTGCACCTGTGCTTGGATACTCATGTGTGGTGGCTAGAGAACAGCTGGGTGCCTTTCTCGGGAATTCCATCTGCTTCCTTTGAGGCAGAGTCTCTTATCTGCCTGGAGCTCACCATTTAGGCTAGACTGGTTGGCCAGCGTGCCCTGGGATTCTCCTACCTCCACCTCCCCAGCACTGGGATTACAAGCTCCTGCCAACATGCCCAAAATGTTTTCTAAGTTCTATTGAATGAACACAATCCTTGTGCATGAGAGGCGAGCGTTACCAAATGAGCCATCTTCCAATTCCCTTTTTGTTGTGTTTCAAGCTAGGGACAGGCTGACTGACCTCCAACATTCTGTGTAGCCAAGGATGGCCTTGAACCTCCTACTTCTCCTGCTTCTCCATCTCAAATGCTAAGTTTAAAGACGTGTTCCACCATGGCTTTCTCATCTTTGATTCTAAATAAGTAAATGTCTGTCGCCGTAGGCTAATAATGTTCACTTCCTTGGGGATGGAGTTCCAGTACAAGTTGGACTCCTCATGCTCCCTGGAGGGTCCTATCTAGGCATCTGATTTTAAAACTACCTGTGGTGTAAGCACATGACTGTAATCCCAGAGATAGGAGGATCAAGAGTTCAAGGTGATCATCAGCTATATATCAAATTCCAGGTCAGTCTGGGCTACATGAGAATCTGCCTCAAAAAAAAAAAAAAGCAACAGTAACAACAGCAAAACAGATGCCAATCTAACTGGGTATGGTATCTGTGCTACATAGAAAAATCCTAAGAACAAAGAAGCCCCACCAGTCTTATTAGGGGTGTGACCTAGCATGAGCAAAGGTACCTAAAATAGGTCTGGGTAGGGATTTTTTAGATTTTTTGGTTTTGTTATTTGTTTTTCTTATTTCCTTGAGACAGGTTCTCACATATTCCAGGCTGGCCTTGAACTCTCTATGTAGTCAAAGGAGCCCTTGACACCTGGCTTCTACCCTAGAGTTCTGGGATTACAGACCTGCACCACCGCATTCACCGCATCCAGTTTAATGTAGTGCTGGACCATGGATGCTAGTGGATGCTAAACACTCCGACAACTGAGCTATGCTCCTAGCTGCTCCCCGCCCTCACCCTTCCTTCCTTTCTTCTTTTATTTCTTCTTTCTTTCTTTCTTTCTTTCTTTCTTTCTTTCTTTCTTTCTTTCTTT